GGTTAATACTGACTGATTCTTCAGAGTAGATCTTGGTGTAGTAATCAATTGCGTGTGAAGCAATGTTACTGTCCCCCTCGATGTTCAGGCCAAGATCATCCTTGATGGAGGAGATCCTAAGCTTCTGGCGCCTATTTTTAACCACATTATGAAAGAATTTTGTGCTTGCATCCCCCTCTTTTAACCATCTGATGCAAGACTTCTGCCTCCAAAAGTCAGTTTCTCTTTTGGAAAAAAAGAGTAATTCAGCATTGGCCTTGTTAAATTGAACTAAAGATTCCGGGTTTGGGTTTGCCTCAAAATGGTCTTGTGCCCTACTTGCTCTAGATTCTGCCTCCTTAAGTTGATGGAAGATGTTACCAAACTCCTCCTTGCTCCATTTGGACAAAATGGCCTTGAGATCCTTGAGTTTTCTCCCAAGGCCTTTCATTCCATTGTAGGTTTTATTGTTCTCCCAAAAAGATCTGATGGTGCCTTCTAAAGTGTGGTGTGAAACCCACAAGTCCAAGAACCGGAAGGGTTTGGGACCAGAGTAAGTATCCAAAGAGAGATTCAGGAGAAAAGGCCTGTGATCTGATGCTCCCTTACTAAGCATAGAGAGTTGTAGACTGCTAGTCCTATCCAGCATCTGTTGGTTGCTAAAAACATGGTCCAGTCTGCGCCAAAGCTTCCCATTGCTTCGTTTCCCACTCCAAGAAAAATGTCCTCCTGAAGGATGGATGTAAAGGAGATTGCCAGCTTCCATGCATTCTCTAAAATTCTCCACTGAGTTATTGCAAGGATTGCAGTTCCCTTTGTGTTGGTCAATGCTGTGGATGCAGTTAAAATCTCCTCCAATGTTCCATGGATGTATGCTAGGGGCCCTATATGATATGGCATTCCATAATGCAGTTCTTTCAGCCCTGGTGTGCCTGCCATAGACAGAAGAAATCCACAATGGGCCATGCATTGCAGCTGAGTTGAATTGGCAGTGTATGATTTGGGGGCATTCAACTGTTTGGATCAGAATTAGACTTGGTTCCTTCCAAAATATCCATAGTTGATTATTCAGATGGTTGGATGCATTGGTCATACCCAACATATGCTTATAATCCTCCAACTGGTTATTATCTAGCAGGGGTTCCATAATAGCAATAAAAGAGAGATTATGAGAAGAAGAAAGGGTTTGAAGTCTAGGGGAAGACTTCTTTATTCCTCTAGCATTCCAAAAGAGCAAAAACATCAAAGTGATTTGGGTTTAGTTGTAGTTCTGTTCCTCAAAGACATGCTAAGAGGTGGCAAAGGGGTCTTGAGACCTCTACCCTTCATGAAAGGGATTGCATTGATATTAGCCTGAGAAAAATTGTTCTCCACGGCAAGAAGAGGACTCTTATCCTGAGCCCTCTCACCTTCCTCATCAGAGTGAATGCATGTAGGGGTACCTGGGGTGTCAATGTCCTCAACGGTGGAGAGAAGTGCTAGGTAGTTCAAGGGAGAGGAGTGTTCATTATTAGCACCTACCTGTTTGAAAAATGAGGCCTTGGTAGTTTTTATTTTAGATGGGCTGTATAGGCCTGTTGAGGAGAGACTGTGCACCAATGGGCTGGTAGTTGGCCCAGCTTCAAGTTTGGGTGAGACACTTGGGCTTTTTGGGGATCCACTAACATTATGCATATGTAAATTGGGCCTGTTTTGCTCTGTGTACCCCAACTTGGAAGGGCCCGGAATGTCTGAGCATTTCTTGGCTTTGTTCGTTTGCCCATTAGCCTGAGAGTGCTGGATGCCTGCCATCACATTATGAGCTGGTGCCTTTCCTTTCCTCTGAATACGGACCCACTGATGTGTGTTATTTGGCTTGATCTCCTTATCAGCTTGCTGCCTTACCAAGGTTGCCCCGCCGGTGAGGACTTTTCCGACGGGTTGGGATTTTTTGCAGCAGTGACCCCAGCGTCCACAAGTTATGCAGTAAGAAGGAAGATCATAAGTGAGTTGAATTTCACGATCCCATGCAGGAGTACGTACCAGAATGGCAGGTTGTTTGGGTTTGGACGCGTCCATCTCCACCAGAACTCTTGCAGAATTGAAATATCCACCCCTCGCTGTGGTCTCATCCATTTGAATTGGTTTCCCCAGAGTTTTCACAATAGAGAATAGGGATTGGGCGTTAGTAAGGAAGAAGGGGATGTGCTTGAGCGAGACCGAGACGAGAGCCAAAGGGCTGTCACGTTTATCCTCTAAAAGAGGATCCCATTTTGAGAGATACATCTGGTGACCATTTGCTCTCCACGTCCTTCTAGATAATAGCCTAAGGAAGTCAGTTTGTGTTTTGAGGATGATAACTACAGTGAACCTGCTAATGGAGATAACACGGAGTCCAGAAAACCCTCCCCTCTCCAAGGATTTACCGATGTCTGTAACCTGCAAGTCCTTAGCAAACCTGGCTTTAATGGAGAATGGATAGGAGTCACCAATCCTCCTTATGTCCTCTGTGTTAAAGGTGACCAGAGGTTTACCCTTGCTGGTGGAAGAGATGGCTCCCTCGTCATCACCCGTTTTGAATAGGTCGGAGAATAGTTTCACCGGCTTGCCGGAAACCGGCAGCTTTCTCTCTCCCTCACTAGAAAAAATCATCTCCATATATATATATATATATATATATATATTGAATATTTTATTTTGGTTTGTAATTTTAATTATGAAAAAAAATTATTTTGATATAAACTATTTGAAGTATATTTGTATACTTGTTTAAAATGATATTGGTAATTTTGTTTGATTTAAAATTAATTTTATATTAATTTTGGTGTCAAATAAAATACACTTTGAACATTTGAGTGGAGAAGAATTTAACAGATGCTTCTCACAATCATGTTTCGGCCATATGGATTTCAAGGTTGACAATTTGGTACTTCGTATTATATTACTTGATTGATAAATTAGTGATTTGTAATTGATTTGGTAATTTGTCATTTTATGCATAATAAAAGTCCATTATTATACCCACTTTCTTACTTGAATAAAAGAGAACACATTCTTCAATTTGGCTTAAGGAATTTTGGGAAACTTTATTTCTAGAGAGAGAAAGTGATTATTTGGGGTTCCATTAATATCATTTTGTGTATAGAAAATATCTATAATAGTTTAAATATTATTAGAAATATTTTCTATAGAAATATACAAGACGATTATTATCCCAATTTTAATCTTTATATTTTATACTACTATAATCTTTACTAGCATAGAGATTGTGGTAGACTCCGGCGTTGTTCTTGTGTCAAAGTTGGAGACCGGATGCTTGAACGGTTATGTTTGCACTTTCAACGCTGTTCCTACGACTTCTTCGTTTTTACCGCTTACACAGAAAGGTATAAATTTCTTACTACTATAAGTTTTAGTATGCGATTCTGGGCAAGATATATAATCATGTTAGGATGTTAAAATTTTTATATTTCGCTGCCTATCCTTGAATGGTTACCTTTCAGTGGTATCGGAGCCAACGTACAAAACTATAATTTTAAGTTTGACTTTTTAAATTTTAAAACTCAAAGTTTTAACTTGGTAATTATTAAAATTAAAAATTAGTAAAATGGTTTAATTTAGTCTTGAAATAAGTACTTAACTTAAATAAATTATTGAAAATGAATTTTAAATTTATTTATTTTATTTCTACCTGATATATATATATATATATATATATATTGATTTCTCGAAATATATATTTATATTTATTGTAGAAATAGTAAATATAATTTTATTTGGACATAAAACATTATTTTATGATTGATAAAATTATATTGTAATTTTTGAATGTATTATTTCCTATTTTGAATTTATTGTATTTGTTTACGTGAAATCCGAAAATAAATATGGAAAAATTCAAAATGAACTTTATTAAACTTGGAAATATTATTTCTAAGTTTAATAAGGTTGTTGATAAATATATTGTACAAAATAATATTAGTTAGTAATTAAATAAATATATATTTATATACGTACTCGGTATTATTACTGAAATATTATATATATTTATATATTTGTATTTTAATTAAATAAATGACTAATATATATTTTGGAAAGTTATATCCTAGTAGCAAAAGAATTGTTTTTCAAAATATTAAATTTTTATAATTTAATGTTTTCGAAAATAGTTTAAATTGCTTTTTATAAGTTATTGAGTTTTAACTAATATATTTTAGAAATAATGATTTATAAATTTTGGAAATTTTATTTCCTGGTTTATAAATGTTAAAAATAAGTGGTGGAAGTTGAAATTTTATTTTCATGATTTTTGCAAAATTGTTTCAAAATTTTAATTGCCTTTTTGAAAATAATTTTGCAAAAAGGGCATATTGGTCATTTGTAATATTCTGGATTTTGTTATTCTAGCCGAGTATCCAGAATATATAAAATGATTTTAATAAAATTTTATTAGACTTCTTTGGACATCTAATTTAATTTTATGAGTTTTAGAAAATAGTTACTATCGTAGTATTTTTCTAGGAGTGTCTAGGGTGAGCGCGGCTCACCAGGTGTATGTATATCTCTATTGCCTGTGTGAATGTATCATATGCATGGTGGATGATTGTGGCTATAGTTTATTTGATTAGAATACGGCCTGCGTGTCGTGCATTATCTCTCAAACTCTTGTTGTAAATCTATTTCTATCTCTTACCTCAGCCGAGGATTTTTTTCTCACGTGGTGGTTAGAAGACAAAAATATTTGAATTCCGTTTTGAATAAATCTAAAGGAATGGAAATAGCCCGAATTCCAAGTGCCCGGAATCCAATGGGAGCTATCGTTTTAATTTTTCTTTTAGGGACGACAATCATTACACGTTTATTTACTGCGTTTTGTGAATGGATGTTGAATGTATGTTGAACGCTAGTAATGGACATGTGCGCGCCCATGTCGATAGGTGAGATCGAAATTATAAATCCATCACGAATATTAAGTATGTTTCCTTCTGACGGCCGGCACCTATTCGGCTAATGTGCATTGTCATGTACTCAGCCTTAGCAGAGCATAGTACGGTGTATGTTAAGCTGGTTACGGGAACCGCCATAGCATGGTCGCTGTCGCACGTTGGGTTAGACTTAACTGAGTCTCGGTAAAATGGATGGACGACTCAGAGGCATTATGTTGGGGTCATCAATGACTAGTCGGATTATTTTACTCACTCATCCAGCTAGGAGATGGATCTTTATGATTTAATTGAAACTCTGTTCCTAACCAAAGTAGTCTCTTGTAAGATGTGCCTCAGCCAATTACAAGTATGGTGAAAAGGTGTCCTGGTCCGATTGTAGTAATATTGTTCGCCCAACACCAGACCAAGAGCTGAGAGCCCGGCTCATCAGTTTGAACTGTGTTCTTACCTAAATAGTTGTCTTGTGGAGTAACGCCCAAGCGGAACGCAAGATAATGAAATATGGATCTTGGCCCACTAGAGGTTTCGCCGGAAATCTCCGAATCAATATCGAGGGTTATTGATTTGTTAAAAATAGTGGGAGATAATTAATTAAGGGCCTAACTAATTATTAAACATGATAGATAACCTAATTTGCAAAATTTTCTATAGATGGCAAACAACAACAACCCTTTCAACCTGCGATATGTTCTAGAAAAAGAAAAAGTATCTGGAACTAACTTTCTTAATTGGAAGATGAATCTTAAGATTGTTCTCGAATGCGAGAAAAATCTCTTCGTCCTTACCTCTGAGCCTCCCAAAGCTCCTGAAGCGAATGCCCGTGCTGCGGAAATTACTTCGTACAAGAAGTATGAGGATGACGCACGCGATGCGAGATGTCTCATGCTAGCCACCATGACCCAGGAGCTCCAAAGGCTCCACAAGGACATGGAAGCTCATCCTATGATGACTCGCTTGAAAGGTCTGTACCAAGGCCAGGCTAGACATGAGCGTTTCCAAATCTCTACGACTATGTTTTCAGTAAGCTGGCAACGGGTCACCCAGTTGGTCCCCACGTTCTCAAGATGATCGGTCAGATCGAAACTCTTGAAAAACTGGATGCCCCGTTGCACCCTATGCTGGCAACGGATCTCATCATGGGATCACTACCAGCTGAGTATAGTCAAACTGTAGTGAACTTCTACATGAACAAACTAGAGATGACTATGCAAGAGCTACTGAAATTCATCACAACTGCTGAGGAGAGTCTAGGGAAGGGCAAGGGTAAGTCTGTCCTGATGGTAGAGGATAGTACTATTGTGAAGAAGAGTGGGTCACGTTCGCCGGCCGGAACCAAGCGCAAGGGTTCTAAGAAACCCAATCCAGCGTCCAAGTCCTCTTCGTTGAAACCCAAAGTAGGTGTAACACCCTAATCCGTACAGGTCTGCAGCCCCTTTCGGACTAAAGTACTTAACTTGGTAATCGTAAAAAATTTAAAACTTTTCAAACACTTTTATTTATCACAATCATATTTTTCATAACATATACAGTACAGAGTATTCAACAATATTGCGGAAGCGAATTTAATTTTTACATATCATAAATCATTTCAAACTTGTCACATCCATCCCGACAATCTCGCCCCATCTGCCGCAAGGATCACATTATGCTTTTTGTTTACCTGCGTGTAGCAAATAAAACACACTACACGCTCAGCGGTAAAACTGAGTAAGCATATTTAATGCGTCGAACATCCATATAAACTGAATCTAAATTCATGAATCTAAATTCATGCACACAATGTTCATTTCAGACATTCACAGTTTTGATATTATTCAGTTCATATCAACACATTTTATCCAATTCAGATATTATTCCAACAGTGCCTTTAAATTATTCTTAATCTAAGGCCATATAATAACAATGCTCTTATCTATTCTTAGTCTAAGGCCAAATCATAACAATGCTCTTAGCTATTCTTAGTCTAAGGCCAGATCATAACAATGCTCTTAGCTATTCTTAGTAAGACAATTATTAATTAGACACTTAAACTATCATTAGTTTAAGGCTAATGATTTCGGACACTTAATTGTAGTCAGTTAAGGCAATCGGACACTTAAACTATCATTAGTTTAAGGCAAATGATTCGGACACTTAACTGTAGTCAGTTAAGGCAACAACAAAATAGCGATTGATCAACATTGGATCGGGCATTCCCAAACGAGTAATCCTCTAGTTTGGTCTACGAATCCCGTTTATACATTTTTATCTAATTCATCAAATATTCATGTTTTCATAAGTCTATTCTAATACAAGATCTATTCTAAAGGTCTTCTAGATAGCCTTAACATCAATTAACTAATGGGTATATCTTAGAGTTCTTCTAGATACCGTTAACAATAGAAATCGTTTAATAATTACCAATATATTCATTTTACTCATGGTTCAATCATCAATAATAATTTTAATCAGTAAGTTCATCATTCATAATCATCCATAATAATCATTCATCATAATCATCAATCAACATAACAATTGATAACAAATAGCGGTCTAGTTTCGAGTGTTAACATCCGAACTTACCGTCATGCATCACATAATATTTTTATTTGTTAAAAACATCATTTTTATTCTAAAGAATCATCCTTAAGATAATCGTAATCAATTGGTATCAAAAATAGGATTTTAGAGCTCAAAAATAGCATTTTCGGACAAATTTTCGGATCAGAAATTCGGGGGATCGATCCAGCCCTCTAGATCGATCCATACTATGAAAAATCACTCCCAGAGGACCGATCCAAGCCGCTGGATCGATCCAGACAGTGGTGTTTCTGCCACTGTTCATCTTCTTCTTCTTTCGGGTCCAATTCTGGAAATACCGTTTTTAGTTATCGAACTTCAACGAAACTATATAGAGATGTTTTCCAAGGTTCATAGATCATTTTGGAATCATTAATTCATAGTTTTAAAATCAATTTCATGGTTTATGATTCTTGGTTTTTCAAGCATGTCAAACACAAAACTCAACCAAACGACCGTTTATGAACGTAGAAACGATCTATATGAACATTCTAGTCACTAGATATATCTACGGGCTTACCTCGATGGTAAATGAAGGTTTTGAAGATTTTACGGTGAAACTTCCGGCGAGGATTGTGGCTTTCTCCAGCGACCTCACACCAATACGACAGCACCACTGCGTTCTCCTCACTCCCAGCAACAGATTAGATAGAAAGTTTGTAAGAAATGGTGAAGAATGGAGGGAGTTGTGGTAGTATTTTATAGGAGAAGGAAGAGGAAGAAAACACGGTGATTCTACTGTTTTGGCATCTCAGTGGAGCAGACGGCCTATCTCTACGATTCCAAACGCAAGTCCCTGATTGGGACTAATTTGGTCCCAGTCGGGGAACACTTTTTGGTCCAACTTTCTCCGAATTGAATTCCGTTTGCACCATTGCGATTAGAGTGTTAAACTCTATCCAACAATATAATTTTTATATTTATTTGTAACACTTTTCTGACATCTTATTTTTGGGTGTGTGACTTTAACAGAGTCAAAATTGGTTTAATTGACCTTTCTCATAAAAGGTTCTCATTTAATTCATATCAGTTATTCTCATGATTTATTTTAAGAAATCATTTCAATATTCACATTCTAAACAAATTCTTTATTTACTCTTGATTTGGGTCTGTACTCAGGTTCACAATCAAGACCATACAAATAGTCCACATACTGGATTTATCTGTAACGCCCCAAAACATACCCTAAAATTTTTAATGAATAAATATTCAATTAGTCAAATTTGTTTCGATTAAAATAAATAGTTATTGGGCTTTGGGCCGAAATGAGATGTGTTTTGATATCCAATATCTTAATCTGGATAAATCTCATAGAGATAAATCCAATATGTTGAATATTTGTGTGGTCTTGATTGGGAACATGAGTACAGACCCAAATCAAGAATAAATAAAGAAATTAGTTATGTAGTGAACTTTGAAATGATTTGTTGAAATAAATCATGGAAATAAATAATATGAATTGAATATGAGCACCTTTTTGAGTAAAGGTCAATTAAATCAATTTTTACTCTGTCAAAGTCAACCACCCAAAAATATGATGTCAGAAAAAGTGTTACAAATAAATATAAAAATTATATCGTTGGATAGAGTTTAAATGTACGATCACAACGGTGCAAACGGATTTCAATTCGGAGAAAGTTGGACCAAAAAGTGTTCCCCGACTGGGACCAAATTAGTCCCAATCAGGGACATGCGTTTGGAATCGTAGGAATCGTCCGTCCCCTCCACTGAGACGCCAAAACACGAGAATTGGACCAAAAAGTGTTCCCCGACTGGGACCAAATTAGTCCCAATCAGGGACTTGCGTTTGGAATCGTAGGAATCGGCCGTCCCCTCCACTAAGACGCCAAAACAGGAGAATTGGTGTCATCCTCCATGTCTCCTTCTCCATTCACCTCACTATATAAACCCTCCATTTCTTCACCATTCTTCATCAAATTTGATCTGAGAGATAGCATTGAGTGTGGAGAACGCAGTGGTGCTGTCAATTTAGTGTGAGGTCGCCAGAGTTGAGAGTTATTGTCGCCGGAAGTTTTGCCGGAAAATCTTCAAAACCTCCATTACGCTTCGAGGTAAGCCCATAGATATATCTAATGACTAGAATTTTCATATAGGTCGTTTCTACGTTCATAAATGGTCATTTGGTTGAGTTTTGTGTTTGACATGTTTAAGAACCAAGAATCATAAACCTTGAACTTGATGTTAAAAATATGTTTTAATGATTCCAAAATGATCTATGAACCTTGGAGAACATTTCTATATAATTTAATTGAAGTTTGGTGATTAAAAATGATAATACTCGAAACTGACCAGAGGAAGAAGATGATGAACAGTAGCCGAAAATCGATTATTTACTCCTAAGAATCGATTAGAACTTTGTTCAGATGAGGTGCTCGAAGTCAGAAAAATATAATCGATTATTTTATTAAAATAAATCGATTTTTATTATATAATCGATTATTTATAATTTATAAATCGATTTTAGTTAAATAATCGATTATTTATAAATTATAAATCGATTTTTAATTATTAATCGATTATTATTTATTAAATAATCGATTTTCCCACATTTTTTTATATATAAATAGATTATTTTATATTAAATCAACTTCAATTCGAGTTACTGCTTCGAAAAATATTTCTCAAATTATGCTCTAAAATCCTACTTTTGATACCAACTAATTATAGACAATATAAATATGATTTTGTACAATAAAATGATGTTTTGACATATAAAAAC